AGTTGTTGCCATCATATTTTCTGAATTGCTACACTGCTGCCTTTGAACACTTAGCCCAATATTACATGCATATTCCCTTCACAATGCTCTATTACTGCACGGTTGATTTCTAAAAACCTACCCAAACGCACAATTGTAGGTAGTAGGTGCCCAGTTCTCACTAAGCATTATGACTCACACCAGGCATAGAGCAGCTATCCAACTCTAATCCACAAGAGATAATTTGGTATTCATGTTTTACAAATGTGCTTGAGAAAAATCCCTAAATCTTTTTGGCAAGTGCAGTCGAGAAAGTCGTGCAAGCATGTCATCCACCATGAAAAGGCAACGGGATGGTTGAGTAAAGCAGGGCTTTGTCTCCTGAATTCAGCCTGAAAGGCACTGCCATCATCAGCTTTCTTTGTTGCAGACTTTGTCTTTCCAGTATTTTACTGGTTTCTCAAAGGTAAATAGAGGCTTGACTCAGTGGGGCACATGCAGTTTTCCTACAACAGGTAATAAATTTGCGTGTCAGGCCTGCGCGTCACAGATTAAACATGCTTTGTTTGGGATGATTTATGAGTGCGATGTCGTGCTGGGTGCACTTGGCTGTGAGGAGCTGAGGGTTTGATGGTGGTGAGGGGGTAGCAGGTGGGGCGGTGGGTTGGTGAGTGTCAGATTTGTCTTACAGGAAGACTGATCTGTAGCTGCTCCGAGGGTGCCCACTGCAACACACACCTCTGTCATTAATCACACACAGCCTCGGAGTACAGAGTGCTTTGTCTTCTCCTCCTCTCACACCAGTGCTGCAAGCTGTCACCATCCTGAGAAAAGCTTACTTCAGAACTATCAAGAAGTAAGAGCAACTGTCTGTGCCTTTCTGAAACTGCAGGGTATATAGAGTATGTATTGCCACAGAGAAAGTTATGAAGTTGCAAAACTAAAACAGGACCCTTTACTCATTTTCCTTGTCACGGTATGGCAGCTGTTGCATACCATTATCTTTACCAGTCACTGAAAGAAAAAAAAGTATGATATAAAACCAAAATATCCTTATTGCATGTATGAGCAGTTGGATTAATATGTTCTGGTCTTTGTCTAGCCATTGCCTGACTATAATGTAAGCACTATTCTAGTACTCTTCCTCCTTCAGAGAAGGTTACCTAGATCTACAGGATTAAGATCATTCACTATCCTTACAAAGAAACAGCTGATTCAGCAAGCAGCACAGCTAAAAGCATGTTGACTTATAATCCAAATACAGCTGACCGCTGATGCCCCACTTTCCACTGATCTCACACACTCCTCACTGCTTTCATTGTGATATTGAATTTGAGGTAATTAATCCCAGCAGTTGTATTGAATTGGAGATCTTCTTTGACGGTGATTTTTGACTCATAGCTGAACATCAAGAGAAAACATTGTGGGCATTACAGTACATTGCATTACATTGTGTACAGTATGTGCTTTCAACCTAAATAGCAACAAGAGTCGGATGAAGTGCATCACTTCCAAACAAACGACTAGAAGTGTGTTGCAAATGAGACACTATACCTGTATAATCTCCAAGATATAGTTTCCCCACTCGCAGGTTGACGTCATATAGCAAAAGCCCATCAAATCCTTGTCTGACACAAAAACCTCCCTTGTAATTTATTGAGTGTTTTCATGGACATAACAGGATAGGCAATATTGTGGCAGGATGTTTATGAGACTCAGAGTGGTGAAAAAAGCACAAAGGAGATAAAACTTGTTATGGTGTACAGTAATGATGGGATAGAAAGAGCACAATAAGCAGAATAGTACATGCAAAAAGGACAGGAGGTGAGGAGGAGTCCATTCTTGAGTCTCAAAAGTTTGAGTTAAATATTCAGAGAAGAGGCAAAGCAGAGAGCAGGGCAAAGCATAAAACAACAACTGACTCCTTATACAGTACAGACTCTTATCTAAAGCTTTTCTGTGTGCATTTTAATGGAGCAACTGCTCACTGAAACTGGGAAATTTTCTTGTCAGAATCTATATTTTCTTCACACTCAAATATGAGCTAAAATTTGCCATCCACCCTAGGCATCTCATAAACAGTTAATTCCTGAATGTAACCCTAGGTGGTCAGGAAGGGGAATAACGATCTGTCAAAATAGAGTTCAGGTCCACAAAGCATGCTTTCAGTGTGGAGGGCCAGATATGTGAAGTATATAATTGCATGCACTGTTTAACATTTATTACATTCAGTACACCATTGCGGTTTGTTTATCGTAACATACCAGGCAAACAGAGTTAATGTGTGCCTAAGCAAATATTTGCAGCACTATATCAAATTCAGCTACCAAATTAAGGATATCAGAGAGGCCAAATGGGGTCGTGTGTGAAATAACAGAGATGTTAGGCCATCCGCTGTTCCACACACAGATTGCCCTATCACACGAGTTGTTGAAGTGTTTGCACACAGAGCTTTGCCGCCTGCGGGCTTATATATCACACTGTGCCTTATTAAGAGCTTTAACAAAATCTGGCTTTCAGTAGCCCCCCCTTAGTCACTGCTCTGAGGGCAGCAGTCTGAAGGGCCTCGGTTAGCTCACAGCCCCGTCTAAACGCCCAGTCCCCCTAACCAGATTGGGGCAGTGTACATGTGGTCGACAGATAAAAGGCAAAGAGTGGCGATATCATGCATGTGATGTATAAACATAGCATAATTGGTTTAAATTGATGTGCTTCTTCCTCTAAATGGCATAGGAGATCAGACACACTCAGCTTTATTGGATGTCATGGCTGAATATTATTCAGTTTTATTTTTCATCATATTGAACTGCCTTTTTAGATGTGCACCACAAATTCCTTCACATTATTCCAATAAAAAAGTAATAAAAACATTTTTTCTCACAAAATGTCATTTATTAACCCGATTTTACATTAACAAGTTCTGATAACCACGAAGAGAGCGTGGTAATGATTTCATGGTACAAGTTCAGCTGTCAGACAGACAAGCCATTTACTTTTATGCAAAAGTAATGAGCAGTGGTCCAAGAGAGTGAACCACTGACCCATAAATTGATTATCTCCAGCTGCACACTGACCCACTGAAATGACTTCACTGTAATCGTTGAAAGTTATGATGTATTCTGGGTGTAGCCTAACTATTGCTTCAGTCACCAAAATAGGGGACTCAATTTTATTATAGCATGCTGGGAATTCCCCTCCATTTCCTCTTGCTCTTGACCTCCCACTCTCCATTGTGTGTGTGAGGAGAGGGTCTGGGGCCGGAGTAGCCCGAGCAGCTCTGCCAGGCTGACAGATCGGCCCGTCGTGCCCTCTGCTGCTCCGTCTGCACTGCGGCTCCATTGTTCTGCCCTCTCAGGCCGAGCCGCAGGGCAACTCCTCACCATTGTGTCTGACAGACCTGCAACCTGATACCAAGGCAGCAGGCGCCTGCCTCCGTCCCTGTGGAACACTGATGCAGCATGTATGTGTGTACATTAAGTTTTCATTACATTTACACAGGCAAAGAATTGCTACATTGCTAAGATTTGTGGTCATAGTGTAATTCCCATCATGTCTGTCTAACATGTTTTAAAGAAAAGTGTGGATTAAGTGTGAAAAATATGTGAAATATAATCAGGCACTTCAGAATACGAACCATGCAAGTAGTTCACTATCACACAAGAAAAATGAACACGATCCAGGCGCCAAAGGCACACGAACATACCTGGGACTACAATGTAATAGGACGTATGTCTACAAAGGCCCAATGCTTCTGTTTAGTAGCAAACTATACACTCACAGTCACATCTTTACTGCAACAAGAGGAAGACTGACATCTTATCTCACCTCCACAGAGAAATGGAAAAACTGAGCCTGAAGAAGCCTATAGTGCAGACACAACACAACAGCCTATACACATCAAAGCAAGCCCCAACCAAGCTGAGCATGCCGTTGTGTGTCACTGAGGAATAGTCCTCTTTTTATGTAACACACAGATGATTAAAGAGTTCAACACAGCAAGCAGACTAATGACTCCACTGGGTTGCAGGGGAACTCAGGAGAGAAGAAGGCAGGGCCTCTGGAGAATACTTGCCGAAACAGGGATGGTTCTAAAATATACAAATTTATTCATCAGAAAGCAGTCTTTTTATGTCATCGATGTGTGCGTATGGGTGTGTGTGCAGGTGGCAGAGAGTGAATGTGAGGAAGACAGAGGGGGAGAGAAGATGAGAGAGAAAAAGAGATAGCAAGTCTGATAGTATCAGCCTTCTGTGAGCTAAACACATCAAGCCACCGGTAACAACCACCATGAAAAAAAACTGCAACTCTGCCATAATGTTGGCTTCACTTTCTGCATCTTCATTTTTTCCTCTAATAGTATAATGGATATTTTCAATATCATTAATAACTTATGTGACCACTCAAACAGGTCTAAATTCACATTTATGGAGTTTTTGCTTTTTCCTTAGTTGATCATACATGGTCATGGAGGCTATAGTATGTGCATGCAGTAGAGCCAGATTTTTTTTTTCCAGTGGATAAATAGACACCAGTGAGTCTCTTGTGAGAGGTGACAAAGTGATGAATGGTTGTGGTGTCTCTGGGACAATGTCATATCATGTGAGATTAAGTAAAAAACAGTCTTCCAGGATAGAAGGTGCAAAGTTTGCTCCTATATAATCAGGTACACAAGGATAAAACTTACACATCAGCAGTTGTTCTGGTCGGGCTAATGTCTCAATAACGCAAATAAATGTTGGATTTCATAACACTGCATATTAATTTAGCAAAGATTGCGTAAACAGCCCTTAAAGGGACATTGTGTAGGAATTTCTCCCATCTGAAATTGTTTTTTGCATTCAAACGAATAGTGCTTTCTAGTGCCTCGCGTTTTCAAATGCGTATTGCAACTACGGTAGCCGTTATGTGCCAAGAATCCTACCTGTCGAGGAGAAAGCAGGCAACTTCAGCGTCCCTTTGAAAGTCTTTCTCCTTCATTAGCTCTTTCCACCTGGGAAAAGCTACCCCGATGTTTACCCTCGTTTTTTGAATTCGCCGGTCATGTTGCCTTTTTAATTCCCTTTTTCGTTTTTTTGGCGACGAGGATTTTCCTTCTCCTGTGGTCGGCATAAGTATGATCCTCCATTATTAACTAAAGTGCAGTGCAGACTTTTAAATGTGCCGGGGCAGTGACAAGCTATCTCACTGATTTCCTTCTTCATTATAGCTGGTTTCAGTCACGTGACGCTGGCTCTGAACGAAAACGCGTTGTGGATTGGCTAGACAGGTAGGCTAGTGCGTTATGTCCCTCTCGGCGATTATAGTTTTTCAAAATGGCGGAACGACATGGAAGCCTCCATGGACTTGCCCCTCCAATGTAAATACAGATAAGAAATTCTTCGCTTACGAGGTTAAGTCAGATCATTGGCAGAGGTAATTTTACACCAATGAGGACACATTTATGAATGAAGACATTGATTTTAGCTAATAAAATACTTAAAACACTACACAATGTCCCTTTAAAGAGACGTGTACAAAATCAACAGGGATTGTATATACTAAATAGATGCTATATTCATGTTCAAACACAGTATCATCATAGGTACATCTATTATCATTGCATTCGTATACTAAATCTTACAATATACAATATGTGTCTCATTTAAAGCAATGAACTACTGACACTGACATACATTTCTATGTTACTGTCAGTGGGCCGATGCTAAACCTGTCCTGTAATTTCATTTCTCTGAATTACAGACTTTCTTTAAATGCTGTGAAAGTGAGTTGTTTTTGACACAGTAGAAAATATATTATTATGGTTGAGCTCAAAGAATTTTTGATTATAAATGTGCCTTATTTGTCTGAGGTCACAAACTGGCACTGGTGCCACTGGTGCAATAAGATCCATGTGTTGATTCTTAACCCCGGCCTTTTCTGTTTAGAGTTCCTGTGTTCATCTGGGTTAATATGGTTTCCTCCCACTCTCCAGAGAGCCATCAGCAGGTCACATTCAGTGCTGCCAATTCATAGCAACACATTGTTTAAAGTGGAAAGTAGTAGTGTTTTAACCATCCAGTTATAACTGCAGCTGAATGCAGATATGTGTCCTGGTAGTTCTGAGAAAACACCACAAAGTTAAATGTAAATGTGTTTAAAGGTGGAACATGGGCTCCATAGTGCACTGATGACCCTGTTTATATAGGCCCACATCACTGCTCATCATCCAGTGGAATTGGTTTTCACCCCCAACACACCCACCAAAGGAGAACGAATGTAACTTAAAGGAACCATTTTGAATGCCATATATCTTTATATGAATTTGGTGATTTTTGTGTCTCCATCACAGTCGTGGGAGGTTGGATTCTGTCCCAGCACACACTGGACAAAAGAGAGAATATATACTGGACAGGTTAACGGATATGGCTGTTTATTTCATTACCACTATGCAGCTAATACACATTTGTCTTTCGTTATTAATCATGTAGTGATGTGAATAAAGATGCTTTTTTTGAACTATGACAAAGTTGTGCGCCTTGAATTTTGGGGGGATTCCATTCCCTCTCTTGTTGACATAACTCTGAGGCTGCTGCAAACCATTGTGCTCTGAGAGGAAACATATTCCGTCCTTAGATTGGGGTGCTATTTTTACAAGTAGTCAACAGACTGGTAGAGAGACTCAGTTTTGAGTTCAAGAATAAGCCTTTACTAAAACACATTTTTGAAACTCAAACTACTTGGCACCATTACATATTAGAATATTAGAGCTGATATATAGATCTAATATAGTTATAATTGTTACATCACTAGAATTAGTACAAACCATTGTACAAATATAAAATTACGTGCGATAGATGTATTCAAAACATGTATTAAACATAGTCAGTTTTCTATTCAATATAATGACAGCAGATTTTGAGATGACCTGTTAGCAAATATTTCCATTCCATCTGATTCCATTTCAGTCTTTTTCAATTCAATCTAGGGGTTGTTTAATTTCAGTTTCATATCCACAAGAGCTTTGCTACCCCTTCTCTGTAGTTCAGGGCCTCCTTTAGAAATAGAACATAATACCCAGAACATACATCGTTTTAGAAGAAGAGCTCTTCATCCCTGGATGTGGCATTGAAATAGTAAATGCAAATCCACTAAAATGGTTACTCCTCAGGAGTGCGATCCAGCAGGGATGACAACATAAACAATGGTGCAGATAGTTGTTCAAACCAGCTGCACATTGCTATTGTTAGGATTAGCGTGGTAATCTCGGGGCTGGAAAAGCTCACAGTAGAGACACCTGATCAGCCAGGGTGGATAAGTATTTGTTCCTCTTTTATTTCAGACAAATACTACAAACGGCGTACCTCCATACTATGACGGACATCTAGGTTGTTGAAGCTGAAAATAGAGAATAAAACATAGGAGAAGTATTAGCAAGATAGAAAATTACGAGCGAGACAATGAAGAGGAGGACTATAACCAGGCAAAGAAAAGAAGGAAGGAAAATATAAAGGAAGAGTAAAGAGAGCAAAATGAGAGCTTGTGTTTGTCTGGATGGGCAGAAGGCCTGCAGAGCTTGGCAGGAGTCCTGCTTCTGACAGCAGCTGCGGCCTCAGTTTTATATCTTAAGGTGGTGCCTTGACTCAACACCAGCCTTTCTATCTCCAGCTCTCATGTTTTCAATCAGAGGGGACCATAAATTATTGTCAGCAGTAATCACAGCTGTCCATTGTGGGCCTGCTGAGGGGTCCCAGCCTGTCCTGGTGCATCAAGTCACACTGGATCATGGCACCTCTGATACAGGCAGTCGGGAGGACCTGCAAGCGGGGTAAGACACAACACAAAAGTTTAAAAGAGGTGCTGTTTATCCTCACATAAGATCCTGAAGCAAATGAAAATGATCTGCCAGATCAGGCGATTGAGATGTGACTTAAAGGAATAGTCAATTCAGTTATGATATATCAACATCACTTTCTTCAGACTCTATATATAGGTCTGCCTTCATCTTTCTACAGCTCCATAAAACATTTCCAAACACCATGCACCTTGGCAAGGGACATTTTGGACTTTTGGCCAATGCTAAATTCTGTGTTATCCCTGTTATCTTCAGTAGTTAGTTAGTTAGTAGGATAAAGACCAGATGAAAATTCCTGCATGTTTATTTTTTTATTTATTTATTTATTTTCTTCAGCGGAGTTTTGATGACAAGGGGGCGAGCTGTTAACTCCTGAATATTACATTTCGGGTGAACAATTCCTTTTATTCTGTAACATTGGAAAGCAGCACAAAATGACAGACTGTACATCTGTGATCAAACATGATTATTAATTGTTGCATTCTTTTAAAAAGATGTGGTTCCATTTCATTCTAACCCTGAATGAAACGGGAGACTGCCTGTTAGATTTTCACTAAATGCTGGCACAGCTCTCCTCCACAAAGTCGTAAAGCAGACAAAGTGGGTTTCCCCTCTTTCTTCTGTCCGCAAAATTCATCAGGCTCCTTTGGCAAGCTGCCCGGGTAATCGTGGCACGGTCTGTGTTTTTCACGACAGCACTGTTATTTTGCTGTGAAAACTCTCAGCATGGGGTGGCACACCCACCTCTGGCAAGACACTGCTGTCAGAGCTGATCAGCAGAGAGCAGCCTTCCCTTTCAATTAGCCGTGTCTGTCTAAGAACAGGGCCAGGAGCACCAGCACACAGCCACACAGGCACCCAGCGAAGGAACAGCAAGGAGAGCAGGTGGGAGGAGAGGGGAGAGCTGGAGAAGTAAGCCCCAAAACTCCAAACAGGGACTGAAATACCCTCCACTGCTGTGTGCTAAGTCCCTCTGTACCAGAAAGGGCTCTGCCATGGCACGTCACAGTAAACACAGGCAGGCTCCATGGAAACACGGCCATTTGGCAGAAAAGCATGGGATGAGATATGGCACCAATGAGGCAGATAATTCCCTGAATAACTATATCTTCCCCCTCATGTGCTATCACAGTAATGAAGAGTGAGTGTGCATGTGTGTGAAAGAGAGAGGGAAAAAAAAGGCAAGCAGCGAAACAGCCATGTCAAATGTTAACCATGGAGTTCCTTAAGAAACAACACACCACAATTTACACAGCACTAATCAAGACACAAATTAGAGGTTGTTTGGGGAGCTTATGAACAATGTTGAAGGGCCTTGAGGAGGAGCGCTGGGAGTGAAAAGAGAAAGGGTGGCAGCCATGCCCCTAGGTTGTTTATTACAAATGCCACATCCAGGTGGGATTTGCAGAGTTGCACCCTAGCCAGCATCTTTCTCTCAGTGGAAAGAGCCTGAGGTGGAGGATGGTAAACATGGGCAGCTGTAACACAGGCACAAGTGTCCCTGTGGGCTCAGCTGGGGCTTTTCAATGGATACATTTCAACTGCTAGGAGAAAGTAATGTATCGATAACCTTATCAAGTCTATGGACCTTCTTAGCATTCAGAATACTACAAGCTGATTCAGTTCAGCAAATTTCAAACAGCATACTACCAACATAGTGCAGTCAAAGCAGATCCAACCCCCCTAAGTAAGTCTGACTGGATGGAGAACTTACTTCAAAGGCCTGTCTCAGTTTAAAGCAAAGCACAATCTCAACACCTTGAGCCTTTTCTTCCTGTTTCAGTGTTCACTTCACCAAAGCCAAGTGTGCTGAATAAAAGCAGGCAATGAGAAGGCGGAGGGAAGAGAAGGACTGCCTGGTATCCTGCTCCAATTTTCCGAGCTCATTTTCCCCTAACAGTTGAAGAGATGCTCTATTGTAATGAGTATCATGTGTTTAAAGCTGTTGTAGAGAGCCAATGTACCTATAAAACCAGCAGCTCTGACACCAGCAGACTGGAACCTGGAAAAGCCATCACTGAGTAGAGCGTGTAAAACTTCAATGTGAGTATATTAAAGTGTTTGTCACGCTTGTCATTATTTTATTGCCACCTCCCATTACAGAATACAATTAAAGCAAAAATCTTGTTGTTGACAAAACTCACGACAAAAAAAACAAGGTCCATTTAGTAGTTCTGGACCTGTCAATCATATGATCTACATCACTAGATGGAGTTGGCCCAGTTGTCATAGTATTGTAGATACTTGAATTTCCATTTTCTCTGAGCACTTTTAAACCAACATGAACAAGAAGTGTTCAGAAAAAAGGTAAATTTGATCATGTAGAGTAACTTTTCTGTCAACTGCTGTTTCCAGGGCAATAATGGAATCTTTAAGGTGCATCTTGTATTAATGAGAGATAGTTGTAGCACTAGTCTCTTAATGCACTGTAACAAATGCAGACTACAGCCATCAGTCTCAGTGTATACAAATTGCCCCGGAAGCTTGTACATTTTTGTTTTTCATGTTAAAGCCACTACAGGGAACAAGATAGGACATTATTATGTTGTGAATTGATGAGAATGTGAGATACTTCAGTGATGCTATTAGCAGTGTGAAAGTAATTCTATTAGTAGTGCAATGTAATACCACAGAGCAAATCTAATAAGTTATTATCAATGTCACAGCAAACAGACAGTGTTATGATTGTTAAGTGGCACAGATGACTCTGTATGAGCTTTTTTTTTTCATTATAGACTGGACTCAGTGTTTTAGCACACTTTCAAGCAGTGCCAAACTCCAAAAATCCAGCTGCTGTCTCATATCTCTGGTTCCATATGCATCCTGTACAATCCATATGTAACTGAGGATATGACTCTATCTCTTTGTTCTTTTGCCATTCACAAAATATCAATACGACATTTGGTGGATATTTATTTCGTCCTTATTTGACCAAACCTATGATGATGATATGGTTTGACTTTTATGGCTGAGGACTAAAAACTTATATACGTATTTCCAATGTTGTTGATTGATGATACAGAACAAACATCTAATCTATCTTTGCGTAAATAGACTACTTTACGGTCATCCATCTGTGTGTCACATGAGCTAAGGTTTTGGTAGAAGCTCGATATATGAAAGTCTAGATTTAAGTTCAAGTGTGTTGATGAGATTTTTACTTCATAAAACAACTTATGCATTTCTGTTTGAGCATTTTGTAGCTGCTACTTCAGCTGTGCATGACACTCTTACAGGGATGAAAAGGAAATTTGCGAGTGGACGCACACTTGAAAGAAAATATAAGAATTTTGGAAAGGAGAAGCTGTACTGACTCTAAGTACAGAGGGAAGGACAACATCTTCTCTCACCTTTCCAGCTGATGTGTGGGATGGGGGCCCCTTTGGTGAGCGTTGTTGTCAGCCGAGACAAACTGCAGCTCCTGGGAGTGCCCCAGATCTGACAGAAACCTCCCCCTCCATCAGTCACGTCATCTGAGTCAGTGAAGGAGTCTGCGCCCTGCTCGCGGTCACACTAACCAGGAGACACAAGCTGTTCCTCTCCAGGTGCTCATTAATGCACTTGTCCTTGATACCTCCACCATACAACAACACAAAGACAAACACATGCCTGCCGTGTTCTAATTACACTTGCTGCGCACACACTCAAAAGGATGTGCATCATGCATTTCACTAAGAGACTTGTAAATGTCAAACAACAGCAGACACCCCTTTACTTCCCCCTCCTGCTGTTGCTGTTCTTGTCTTTTTATTTTTGGAGGGGGGGTAACACAGTGATAGGGACCGTTGTTGTGAAGCAGAAAGAGACAGAGCAAATGTAGTGCTATGTAAAGATAGTTTGAGCCTTTGAAGTGGGGGACGTTGGGGACAGCTGATAGAGAGAGCCAGCACTAGAGTGGAGAGCTGGGCTGGAGAAATTCATCAAGCTTTCTCTGCAATTAGCATATGGGTCTAATTATCATATGAAACCAATCCTCCATAACCAGACTCTGCCTACAATATAACTTCCTATCCTTCCACATTATCACCCAGCCTACTGAAAAATGGCGAGCATGGTTGACCCCAGCATTGTCTTCTCCGAGGCTTGCTTGAATAACTACCATACCTTCAATGTTCCTTTTTCCATTATGCAGTTAAGCCAGACAGTTAATTATCCAGGAGCAGGGAGGCCGGGTCTCTTTGCTGGCTGCGATAACGATATGCTTTGCTGGGCAGAGAATGAAGAGGGCCAGCCCACAGGGAGCCGTGCTGATGTCAGGCAATCTTTCAAAAAAGGCCCAGGCAATTAGATGCACCAGTGCTACTAGGGATGACTAGTGTTATTGAGGATACTGGCTAGCTTCTCTAATGGGGGTATTTAGGGCAATTATGATAAAGATGTCAGGGCGACCTCCCCGCGACGGCTGCTTTTACAAGGGGTGCTTCTAAGTGCAAGATCACAGAGCAGAAATAAGGAGTGACTAAAGATGTGGCCAGTCCCGTGTGGAACTCTTGCCACCAGCAGAACTGCACTTAAGACTCGTCTCATGTGGAAAATACTGTCTAGAGGTGCTAAATGGGCTAATCTGCCCTCACAGTTGTGTTTTTATGGGAATTTTGAAGTCTATTATGACAGTCTCAAGAAAATAAACACTCCAGTGCTCAATTAAAGAGTAAAGCCTGGCTGATTTGTTTCCATTTAGCATCATAGATTCAGCACATCTGGCCCGGGGAGAGATCGGAGTACTGTTATTATTTAATGGACGAGGGAAGCTGACCATCTGTAAGGTAGCAGAGCCCCACAAAGGGGCCTTTCATGTGGCTACTGTTGTACACCGCTTGTGTCTGAATTGTTTCCATACACGCGTTTACCTCAGTCATCACCTTTCCACCACTGGCATCCACCACCTCACATCAAAGTTACAGCTCAGGGACATAACCAAGAGCTACTGGTCACCGCACACACCTATAACCAGCAAGCCCAATTGCAATGTTAGCATATGCCATCCACATGGCTGGCATGACACTAAACACACACTGACTAATGTTTGAAGTAAGTTCAAACAGGCAAAAGCAGAGGAAAAGTGCAACGTGGAAGCAGCATGTATCCTCTTTCCTCCTTTAAAACAGCCAAACAGCTGGTCATGTTCTTACAAAGTGCTCAGTACATTTCCATGATTGTTTTTATACCATGTCTGTGGATAATGCACCATGATATCCCTCTCTCTGTAATAACCTCTCTGAATAGATATTAGACAGTCAGGAAACAGCAACCCTACTATCCAGATGGAGAAAAGCTCTTCAGTGAAGCACATTCCAAATGTAAGTGTTTCTTTCTGTTGTAGTTCATGGAACAGAGCCATACACTATTCAGGAGAGACTGAGGAGATTAGATATGAAGTTCAATACAATAAAACCCTTGAAGTACATGAGCCTCTCATTATAATACTGTAATGAAGGAGTGCTGCTCGAGAAAATTAAGCAGACAAGAGAAATGTAAAGCTTAATAAACCCAAAAATCGTGGTTTTTAGCATGGTAGCAGCATGGCTCTACGGATGGCAGCATTGGTCCATCACTTTGGTCCAGACTGAAATATCTCAACTACCACATGGATTACCATGTGCAGACATGGCATGATTCAGTGGGATGAATCCTACTGACTCTGGTAATCCCCTGAATTTATTACTAATGTCACCAGTTGGTAATTTTAGTAAAATGTTTCAACAACTATTGGATGGATTGTCATGAAATTTGGTGCCGACATTCCTGTCCCCCTCAGAATAAATTGTAAAGAAGTATTATAACTTGTAATAACTTTGAGCCCCTAACTTTTCATCTAGTGCCGGAGCCTCAGTTGCACTTTGTGTTTGGCGCTTATTATCAAATTAGCTAAATCAACATGGTGAATATGGTAAATGTTCTGAATTTCCCCATGTGACATTCAATAGCTGCATGCTGTAATTGTATGGCTATAAACATGCTGACATCTGTGTCTAAGTTCAGCCTCATAAAGCTGCTAGCATGTTTAAAAATTGCTGTAACTTACTGATACTATTTCAGATTTGTCCATCATTTTCAATTATACGTCCCCTCTGTTGCGAGTATTACATTAATTTATGGTATGTGAGTTATGACCCTGAAAGTACCAAAACAATCTATAAAACATCTGTATCTTTTTCCTGTGTAATGAAAGATGACCATAATAGGGTTAAACAGCCCTCATTCAGCTTAAATAATATGTCCTCCCATGGCCTGGTTCTCTCTTTTTCCTAATTCACCCACAATAATTTTTCATCTCACATTGGCTTCTTTTCATCATTTGTCTTTACTCCTTCGACAAAATGCTACCAAAGCATTCCAACATCATAAGCAAATGGGCATGGGGGCCTCTCTGAAATACTAGCCAATCAATCAGGCTGGGTTTGCCCTTCTGGAGCAACAAGCCCCCATCCTACCCAGCCATCAGTCATGCCCCACCTCTGGTTGTCCTCTTGCCTATTTTCACACCATCTCTTTCACACCACAGCTAACGCGATGACTTATTATGTTTTCCAACTTGATTCCCCTTGATGTTTGCTCTCTAACTCTCTTGCTGCCTGTGAGTTACAATCCCGCCTGTCGATTTTCCATCACGATAGCTGGAGAATAAGCTCCAAATGTTTGGCAGAGTGTCAAAGGCAAGCAGAAGGAACCTGGAGAGAGAAGAGACTGGGTTGAATTTTGATCTTCTGGCTGTTTACCTTAATGAATAATATGTATCATGAAAAGGAATATCGGTTTGTTTTGAATACCTCCAGAGGGGTTTCTGACTGTTGTACAGTCACGACATTATCTTTGCTTGATGAGTTAAAAGTTTCCATGCACTATTCTGCACAAGGTCAGTTAAAAAAAGGAGAGGATGTTAAAGAGCTTTCCATGACAAATTGCCACTTGTGCAAATAAAATTTATAATGTCAGTACTGTGTGGGGGTGTATTGTCTTCTTTGGGGGAAAGGGCCTCACCCCAGAGTAATAAAAATGAAACAAAAGTCAAAGCTTTTCCCAAAAGGGTGCAACATATGCCTGTACTGTATAAGGTCACCTTTAAGGCTGCTTTGCTGCACCGTGCACACAACTAAGAGGAACATTTAAAACATCAGGCTCAGCATCAACTAACATTTTCAGCAGCCTGAGTGATTACACAAGTGTTTGTTTCCATCATTTGCTGTAGATTGGTCTTGATTGGTGAGGTGAGTTTGCAAGGAACTTCCTCACCCTCCATATTTTGCCACAGGTGTGGGAGAGATGAGATGAGGGAATTTGTCTTACCATAATAAACCTAAATTGTGAGCAAATCATCCTGAAAATTGCTGAAAAGGTTCGTAAATCAAAGCCTTGCAGATAGCCGTTCCATTAAAAGCAAAGCATAACCTCACAAATTGCAGCCGTCTGAGTCATTTAGTTCCATTAGAGAGGGGTGTTTCTCTTAATGCAAATGGATAATCAAGAGCTCTGCATCAGGTCTGGACACAGGACCAGCATGACCTGCTGTGTGTACATAAACCACAGCTGTAGTGATAGATGGCTGGCTTGACAGAGTGTTATTCTGTGATGTAGTGGAAGAAGGATCCCACTGTGACTCCCATCCACCATCACGCACACAAACTTCTCAAAACACCATGTGTCATTGTCTGCAGATGCTGAAATGAGGTTGTGTGACAATGGGATTTGTTTGAAAGAAAAGGTATAATGAAAGGGTCAAAAGTGTGTGTATGTGTGTGCGTGTCTTTGCATAATCACATAACAGTTTACTTGTCTTACATTACATCAGAGACACAACAGAAGTGAAATTCATCATTTCATCTTTGCTACACAAGCTCTATGTTGTTGTTCTCTGCTTCATCTGTGGTCAGCAGGAGGATAACAAAAGAAAAAGCAAAGAAAGAGAGCTAGAATCTACTACCATCCTTCCAGTTTCGGGCCCTGAAAAATAAGGCTAATTTGAAGGTCATTTAAAGAGCGCCAGGCACTGCAGCTCAGGAGGGGGGCCTCAGAACAAGTGCAGGGGGAGCGGCTTGGGTTGCACCGCTGTGAGGTAGACACTCCGACACTCTCCCTGGTGCTCTTCATCAATCTCTCCCATCCACCGAGAGCCTCCTCTGACCCACATAGCAACCAGAGGGAGGGGGTTGCCTTTCTTCCATTATTGATACCACTGCATCACACAACCTGCACTTACCTGAACCAAGTCAGCAGAGGAGCCACAAAGGTCAGAGAACCACAGGCAGACATTTAGCCTCTCATTCACATTCACAGTCCCCCAAACACCCCACCACTCGCCCCCTTTTGATATTCTTTGGGGGTGTGAGGGTTAAATGTATGGTTTGGGCAGATCCTAAGTGTGAGGGAAGCCATTAGTTTATTTTGCATAAAAAGCCATCGGTTTATTTTGCAGTCAGCATCCTACAAAAGTGCCATATTTAGGTCAGAAAAAGTCCTCTGAAACATTATAGACTGACTTTTTGGACATAAAATGTGCATCTCAGATTATAAAACATGATGATGTTAATATAACTGCAAAGGCTGATATTCTTTTGGACAGAGAGGTTCTCTATTGCTCTTTTTTCCCAGACAGATGCTGCACATTTTACACTTGTAGTCAAAGAAACAGGTGAAACATTTGTTTATGCTGGACCCTTCTGTAGCATAAGCACAATTAACTGTCCAAATGGTTAACAACAAGGTGATAGGGAGTACAAGGCTGGACCAC